TCCCCTGTGCCCGCTGCTGCAGCCCCGGTGCCCAGCGTGGCTGGGTGGGTTTTGTGCCTGCTTCACCGCCTGCTCTGGCTGCTGGGGCACAGTCGGGTGCCCCGTGGGGCTGCTCCCTGCTGCTGGCACTGCAGGTGCCAGGGGAGCCACGAGCTGGGCGTTGCTCCTCACCCTCCAGCCCTGGCTGTTCCACTGCCTCTCATTCCAGTGCGGGGGGATTTTCCACTCACAGCTCAAACCGTATGAGCAATCAAGACGCAGCGAGACATGAAACCCAGTATTTTACTGCAACTCCAATTTATAACTTTTCTTTTCATCTTCCAACTCCCTAACTCTGTCAGAGAGTCGATCAAGTTTCTCTAGAAAGATTTCTCCTTTCGAAATTGGCGTTTATTGCATGCCAAGGCACCGCTTGATTGATTTGAGAGATTAGTGGTTTTCCCCCTCTCAGAGCTGTCTCTGAACGGAGCATCCCCTGCTGAAAGAAACATCCGAGCATGCTGCCCACAGGGCTGGGGCTGCTCCTGGGGAATTTAGGCAGAACTGTGGAAAAATCCTTGAGAAAAGAAACCATGGGCTTATTAGGACAATCTTTTGCTCCGTGGCAGTTTCGTGAGTGGGAGGAGAGGCCTTGGACATGAGCTGAGTTTCCTCGGGGAGGGCAGAGCTCGTGCATGGCTGGGACAAGCAGGGGCTGCTGCTGGGGGCTCCGCTCTGTGGTGATGTCCTTGCTGAATTTGTCCCTCAGGGACCTGTGCCAAGGTGGCCTCGGGCTTTCTGAAATCATCCCTTACAACCTGCACTGCCCCGGGCAGGGAATATCAGCTCTGGTCTGTGCAGGGAGGGGAGAGCCCGGGTGAGGAATGCCCTGGAGCCTCCCTGGCAGCCGGGGATGGCACCTGGGCTTTCCAGGGAGCCGGGGGCAGGTGGGTGCCCTGGGCACTGCTGGTCACACCAATGTGTCCCTGGCATGTCCCTGCTGTGTGCCTGGCGTGTCCCTGGCGTGTCCCTGGTGTGTTTGTCCCCAGTGTGTCAGTCCCTGGCATGTCCCTGGCGTGTTCCTGGCATGTCCCTGGTGTGTTTGTCCCCGGTGTGTCCCAGGTGTGTCCCTGGCGTGTGCTGCCTGTGCCCTGAGCACCAGTCCCCTGTCCACCCTCCGGAGCTGCCTCTCCCTGCTGGCCAGCAGCCCATTTTATGGACAGTCCAGCTGTGCTACCCCAGCTGTGCAGGGTGGGCATGGCAGTGCCAGCTGTGCTGTCCCAGCAGCGCCAGGCCGGGCTGGCAGTGCCGTGCCCCAGTGAGGCAGCCAGCAGTGCCCGTAATTAGCACTAAAGTTCATTAATCAGCATTACCTGTTCGGGGGCAGGCCTCAGCCTCTCCCTCTCTCCGGGAGGAGGGGGCTGTGTCTGGAGCCAGTTCTGCTGGGCACGGAGCGGATGGAAGCTGCCACTGGTGCCCGTGGCATTCCCCTGGCACACGGCCGGGCTGCCAGCCCTGCTCTGCTCTGATGTGTTTTTAAGCCGGTGCCAATGGGTGCTGCTTTTTCACAGCCATACGTTCTGTGCAGGCTTCATCCCTCTCCCCAGGTTTAAATGCACTTTCCATGAGCGTTTCTCCTTCTGCAAAAGAACTGTAATATTTCTGTTTACTCTTTTGGAGACAAAATCAATATTTGTTAGATGCAATTATGAAGAATGATGGATGCGCTGTCAGTGGCAGGAGAGTCGGAAAAATGATATTATGGCACAGG